TCTCACTCATGCCAAGTCCATGAGTGATTGCAGAGTAGCTGGCCGGTGACCCAGCAGTCCCATCTGTTTTCTTTAAAATGTTTTTATTTATCTGTTTTTAAGACAAAATTACATGTGGTTCCCTTAGTGTGTTTCTTAGTGATGATACTCTGGATAGTCAAGACAAGCTTTTCTTTTTGTTCTCAAAGAATCGGTAGTTTGACTGAATATTTGAGAAGTAATAACAATACCAAACCTTTGTGGGAAGTGGTTCTCCAGACCTGTGTCTCTCACCCCTGCCCGCACGGGAGCATCATCTAGCTTTAGAAAAGCCTTGAGGCCCAGGCCCCTCCCAGTGGCTCTTAATTCCGTTGTCAGGGATGATGCCCAGTCATTGTGTATTTAAAATGCCGCCCACGTAATTCCAATGAAAAGTTAAGGTTCTGATTTTAAAAAAACAGCAGCGTCTTTTCTCATTTGCTTTCTCTTCAACCTTGAAAATAATTAAAGTTCAGAGTAAGATTAAGATAGTTACCTGTTCCAGTCCCACAAATTTAAAGTGATTGACTTAATCTTAAAATAGTGTTTTTCTTCCTACTCAGTCGCGGGAAATTAACAGTATCGGCTATGAGCACAATCAGTGCGTTACTTCCTCCATCTTTATGGTTACTTTAGTTTTAAAATAATGCTTTAGGCTGCCCGAAGGCTTTATCTTTTAGAATTGGTAGTTTGTAGACTAGTTGATTATAGTGAGGACCATGTTAAAAATGATGGCTATTCTCTGGTTGCTGTGTGTCCCCAAATGTCTAAAGAGGCCATCCTGGCTCCGATGGCTCTGTGCAAGTCGTGTATGTTTCTGCTTGTAGGTTGCACTGCCATTTGCTCTGTTGTTTGTTTTGACAACATTTTGTTGCTCCTTTTTATGTCTTCATGTGAAAGGATCTTGAGGATTTGTTTTCTATGTCTTTATCACATTATTTTAGAATATTAAGACTGTCTTGGAGTTTGTGGTGACACTTGGCAGATCAGCCTAGTTTTTTCAACCTCGTAAATAATGTAAGTATGTATCTGCTGTGGCCTCACCACTGCATTCTCTTTGCACATTATTTTGAAGAGCAGGACGTTTTTGTAAAAACGTCCTCACTTACTGGTAGTATCTCAGATAGTGGGCTGAACACCCCTCGTCTGGGCCTGGCTCTCAGCTCACCCCTCTCTCCTCCTCTTCCCGTCTTCCTCTTTGTCTTCCTTCCCTGTGACTCTCTCTCTCTGCCCACTGGGGTCTCCTACATTTCAGCCCCTGCCCACACTCTAGGGTCCTGGGTGGGTTCATGTGGACTTTGTGATGTTGCCAAATTAGAGAGCTTGCATCAGTTTTAATCATGTCTCTTATTTATTTTTATACTTCCAGTTACATACATAGGAGGTCCCCCAAACCTCCATGAGTTAAACTAGTAAAATCAGCATGTAAAGGAGGAGATCCAGTAGCTATGGCATTCATCTTTAAAAAGACACAATGTCTTTCAAGTCAGAAACAGGAAGAGCTGGACAACATGAACACATTTAAAGAATAGCTCTGCAAATGGAGAGCTGGCCTGGGTACTGAGAGCACACGGCCTAGGAGCATCTGGTACCCTGTACCTTGTGCCAGTGAGTGGCCAGTGACCATTGCAGCATCGTCTGTATGAGTTTGTTCCCATTCCGTGCCTCTGCACAACCCTCTCAGCATAACAGAGCTTGTTAGGTGGTTTTTATAGGAAGGGGATGTACTGACTAGTCAACTTGAGTGTCTCTTTGGTAGTTATGACTCATTATGAATGAACGTATTTGCATCCGTATTTGTTTATCAATCTTTTCCTAACAGTAATATTTATAGCGGCAGCAGTTGAGTACCTCGTGAGTTTGCTTAGATTGAAACGTCCCCGAGGAGTTTCCCTGTACTGTGGATGAGAAACCGGAGGTCGGGCCCTCGCTCTCGCCCCCTGGGCTGCTACAGCGCGGCTCCTCCCCTGGCAGGGACCTCCCCCACCCGCACAGAGGGGGGCACAGTCCTGGCACAGTTAACACAGGCGCCTCCAGGGGCCGCCCTTTCACAGACACCGAAGTCGTGGTTTGTGGGAAAGGTCCTGGTTTCAGAAAGGTGTTTTCCCTGTGCTCATTGGGGAACTGCAGGCTAAGATAACAGAAAATCCTAATCCAGCGTTTGTGAGTTCTCGTCCCTCTTGTACTTTGTTTAGAATTAAGTGTTCACATCCCTGAAATTGTTTCCTTTCTTGGGACCAAGAGACGCTCATTCATCTTGTTGTTGTTGCTAGTAGGCATAATTTACATACATACCTATATTTACATATACAATATACACAGTAAAAAGCTTTCTCCATCCCCTCCCCTCACCCTGGGCACCTCTTAGGCTTATTTCTCATCGTGCTGTCAGCTCACCCTGTCATTCTCTTACATGCTTGTGCTCTGAGAGGAAACACTGACAGTTTAAGATCGGTTCTTCCTGTATGATTCCAAGGAGGAAAAGAGAAAAACCATTCAGACATCTGTGGGAGACAAAAGGTGTGGTGGAACATCTGCAGAAATTAATACTGTTTCAATAACAAACACAAATTGTAAACTTTAAAGAAAGAACTATAGGTCCTAACAGTCAGTCTTCATGGAATACCTTGGTTTGGAATACATGGAATGTTGTTGGAGTGTTTGAGTTGTAAGGTTTTACAGCGGAAATTCTGTCCTTAAATTGGGCTTGGGACGAGAATTATGGGCAGAATAAAACAGTTCTAGGAAATGTGATCTGCATGTTTGTAAATATTTTGTTTTTCTACAAGATGCATAATTATAATTAGCATAGGCAGCAGTGACTTGCGACTGCTCCCCTTGTTGGCGGGAAGTTGTAACTGCAGGGCCCATGACATTCTAATGGAGACTGTCCTTAGCTCGGCGTAGGACCCTGAGGAGTAACCTAGACACTGGTGGGTGGAGGAACCAAGCATCCCCCAGCGTGCTCACCTTACTCTCATCTCACCTGACACTGAATGTGACTCTCCCGAACTCCTGACCCCGTGTTCCATCAGGTGGTGCTGGCCACCTCAGAATCGCTGGACCCTTCCCACTGCCGTCTGCACAGGTCTGTCTGAGACAGTACCACCTTGAACTGTGAATCCTTCTTGTGTTGTTCTTGCAGTCTTTCTGATTGTTCCCTGTAGTCATTCTTTGTTCTCACCATTCCTTCTACGGTCTCCCAGTTATGGTTATATCTTGGCTAAGTAAACTGTAACTTCCTAATCGTTTTTCCTCTCCACTGGCTTATCCTTTAATGGTCTCGAACACCATGGGAGCTGTTGAAGACCCTTTCTTCGACAATGGCCAGTATTGTTTCTGTACCTTTTCATACGGTAGTTACTGAGCTCTTTGGCATATTGTGATCATCTCAAAGTCAGAAACTGGGCTGCACCGTCTTTGGTGTTCCCTGTACCATGTTGATTCAAGGTCTGAGTTAGCAGTATCTAATATTTAAGATTGAATAGCTTCTTACCCCAGTTCTCTTGTGAGCCCACAGTGCTGCTCTGAGCTCATAACCAGTCATGTCCTAGACATCCTGGCCTGGGACATGGGACACCCGCCCCCAGCCCGCCTGCAGCCAGGGCTGCTCATGCTGAGAAGCATAACCGTAGCTTTGCGCAGCACTGACCTCATCGTGGATTGGAGAGGCAAATACTTACAGTCGCTATAAACCCTCTAATTTGACATCGTAGTAGGTCATTTTGGTATACTGATAGGCTGAGTTTGGAGAGGGGCTGGCAACATTTAAACTAGAATTTTTAAGTGCATCTAGCGCCTATGTACTGATCTCTTTTTTGTAATCAAACCGTTTAATGGACTTAAAACTCAAGGAAAAATAATGGTTGTAATTTCAAATAAGCATTCATTTATGAGTAAAAAGCATTTTTGTATGTTACCATAGTTACTGAGCAGCTTTCCTGTGGCTCTAGAGAAAATGGGCTCTGTCATACAGAGCAACTCTGAGAAGTGCGTTTGGAGGCAGGAGTAGAAGACAGGGTGGTACAGGTTTCCCAGAGAAGCAGGACATGTTACAGGAAGAGCCTTTTTGACGCCGAGTTTTATGTGGTCCTCCACGAAATAGTAACTATTTGATTGTTGAGTGGAAATTTTCTTTTATCCGAAAGACACTAGTAGCCAACTTAACTGGGTATCAAAATTATAATCAAACTTTAGAAGTCTACTGCTACCGTGTACACGGGGTGCTGCTGTATTTATACGGGGTTTTAAAACTTTATTTAAATAAAAACATTAGACATTGCCTGTTACTTGCAAACATCAACTGTATCTCAAAGGAATAAAATCAGGCAAATAAAGATGAGGCCAAAATGTTAAATCCAAAGAATCCGGAAGTGGCAGTTTCTGTACTGGAAGGAGAATGCATCTATCCCTGCTTTTGTGCCTTTGGTCTTAATAGTATTTGAACATTAGAGTTTTGATAATATTTCATGGGTTTAGGGTTGGGTAGGGTTTAATTTTATCTCATAATGTACTAAAAGATTATTTTCTCTGGAGACTGGCAGGCTGCTCACTGTGGAAGAATCCTGTCAGAACTGACTAACTTGGAAGGATTGGATTGAAAGGGTTGGAGGACCTGAGTCATAGAGGGCTGGCGGAACACGAGAGGTGGGACAGGAATGCCAGGGAGCGCAGACGGTGGAAAGGGGCGGGGCAAAGTCAAGAGAATGGTCTAGAACAGTTGAGTTCACTTCTGTCTGTTTTCCCTTCCACAGAAGGGCTCTCACGTGAAGCATCTTTCATCCCTCCCTAGAGTGGTTCCCCAGCCCCATGTGCTCTCCAGGGGCGCTCCTCTCTGTACTGACCACAAACCTCTCTGGGACCCCTGGACCCTGTTCCATGGTGTTTTTGTGATGGTCCAAGGAAAGTCCCGGCCTTTTAACCAAAACACTTTCCCACAGGAATTATTTGTTAGTGAACTTGGAGGAACACATAGAACACAATTTGAAAAACTATTAAAGTTTAATAAGAACATTGAGATGGTCACTCTGCAGTGGAATAAGGGCTTTTCCACCGAAGGTGTATAATCGTCACTAAAATAGTCTGAAGGCTGAGGGACATTTCGGGGAGCATTTTCAGGCGGAAAGTCCCTCCATTGGCAGTTTTCACTCGACTGCTTAGAACATTCCCAGCGTTTGCCAGCCTCAGTGACTGACGATGGGGCAGAGGTCTGGTGGGGCAGCTCGTGGTGAGGCGGCTCAGACCCCGCAGGAGAAACGCCACTCACACCTCTGGAAGCCCGTCCCGGTTGGCCATCTTTGGTCCATCTCGTCCACACGGTCTCACGTCATATGCCAGTATTTTCCCTCCAACCTAAAAACAAAAACAAAACAAAAACTTCCCCATCCTCATATATTACAGGCCCATTTTAGGGAATTCTGTAGCCACAAGGAGCTTTAGGAGCGAGTCCTCCCAAGAGAACATGACAACCCCTATGGAATTTGAAGATACAGAGTTCCTTCTGAAAAGCAGTGGTACAACCCACACTTCATAAATTGCTGTACTTGCTTAGCCTTTGTAGAGTCTGAGTAGCAAGTTTAGCAGTAATCCCTTAGCGACCAAAGCTTTTGTAAATTATGAATACACTTCCCATTTCCTAGTCCGTGGTCTCTGTCAGGCTTTTGTGTGGGCGATAACTGCTTTGACTCCATTTCTCCCTTAGTCTTTACTTTCAGTATTTTTCTGTTGTTATTTTGAATATATCCTTGTGAATCACCATGAGTCCATTTTTAGAATAGGGCAGGGTATAAATCTCTTATCAGATATGCCTGGAAAGTTTTATTTTCTGATAAAGAATTTCAGCCACCGGCTAGCAGCTTGACACTTAAACAGTAATATTTTTGGTGGTTTCCATTCTATTTGGATCCTGCCCGTGCCTCTTGGGGCATTTAAAGTCGCTACCAGAAGGTTATGTGGCCGTGCAGACGGGTATGAATTCAGTCCAGCTGGTTATTCAGTGCCTCTGACACTGGGGAGTTCAGTGCTGAGTGGTCCCTGGAGGCCCATCTGCCGTGTCTCTCTGGTTTGAAGTCCAGCCTTATAGTCAGAACTGCGGCTGCAGCTTATCTTCTACTCATTCAAAAGCTAAATAAAATATTCTAATGCTATCTGTTATCTGCCTACTGACTTTAATGATTATTTGGATTGATCTTAAAAGGCCACTGTAAAGCTGCATTCTAAAATTAAGTGACTGTCAAGCACAGGCCTAGTGGATGTCATTATAGAATAGATGCAGCCAACCGTGAGCTCTCTGCGGCAGCTCAGATGCGAGCGTAGCATCTTACGTGCCTGGAGAACATGAAACTGAAGTCCACATAAAGGGTTGTTCGTGAAAACCATGCTCTTGACGACCTGTTCTCCTGTGTTCTACAAAGATAGATCGTTTAATATATTGTACCAGGCAGTAAAATGTTTGTTTTCTGACCATGAAGGTGGACTCGGGGGTGGTGCATTTCACCCCCCTGACCCGGCCGAGGATAGAGCAGCCGTTCAGGCTGGTGGAGAGAGTCGTTCAGAATGCCTTTCAGTTCCGAAGGAAATACTGCCATCGAGGGCTTGGGTAAGAACGCTTTCTCTTCCTTTTCAGTAGCACTCTTTACAAACTCCTCAGTCGCCTTCAGAGAGTAAGAACTTTGTTTTTATGATTGTTCAACCTGCCTGTAAATATTACTCTTACTTCAGATCCTGTGATGAACAAACCTTCATGGCCACTGAGGAGAAAGCAAAATGTTGATTTAACCTGAGATGCCACCGAGAGGTTCTGTTTGGTTTGATCGTTACAAACTAAAACTGACATCACACAGTTTATAGTGAGCCTGTACTGGGGAGGTCATGACCCCTCACTCAGGACTCAGACCATCTGAACTGTTTTCAGTCTCGACACTTCTGGCACTAAATGTGTGGTGTTTTCCCCAACACCGACGAACTCCCTAACGCTCCAGACAGCACCTGGGCGTCCTACCACTTAATTCTAGTCCGGTCATTCACTACCTGGCATTAGCGCAGCGCCTCAGCTTATGGGCCCGGTGCCGCAAGGCTGTCCCCACTTCAGTCGCCAGTCGCGGGTTCCAGGTTGCCACTTGCATTTATGGCCATAAATTGGCAATTTCCACGATCCCGTTCATCTTCAGGTTGAGTAATTTGCTAGAATGGTTCACAGAACTCACTGTCATGTATCAATTTTAAAGGCTGTAACTCAGGAACTACCAAATGGAAGAGAGGCACAGGGCATCATATGGGGAGCAGGGTGCACAGAGCTTCCGTGCCCTCTCAAGGTTTCTCACCCTCCCAGCACCTCAAGTGTGTTCACCAACCCCGAAGCCCTCGGAACCCCATCATTTGGGGGTTTTATGGAAGCTCCATTACCTAAGCAGGATTGATTAAATCGTTGGCCTTTGGCAATGGAGCTCAGTTTTCCAGGAGTGGAGCTGAGAGAGGTCCATCCTTCAGTCACGTGGTTGGTTCCTCTTGCCACTGTTCCCCATCCTGAAGCTTTCCAGGGGCCACCAGGAGTCGCCGCATTAGCACAGAGCCCAGATGTGGTTGAAAGGGGCTTGTTACGAGTAACAAAAGATGCTCCTGTCACCCCTGTCACTCAGGAAATTCCAAAGATTTTAGAAGCTCTGTCTCAAGAACCTGGGACAAAGACCAAATATATATTTCCTACCATCACACGAGCTAGTGGGTTTTAAATGCTTTCTTTCCATCCAGTTGTTATCTCTTGAAGCTTTTAAAGACGTACTTAGAAGAAGGAAGCAAATATAACTTCCGAGTAGCCAAGACAGTGGCTCGAAGTATCCACATGAGCACATTTCCATTCAGCGGCGGCTCCTGTGTTCTGCCGTGGGCGCCGCTCTGGCCAGGCCCTGAGGTACGTCCAGAGGCCCAGACAGAGAAGGCGGCCTAAGAGTCTGCGGCCTGATGGCCCTGAAGTCACCGCGGCAACGTGTTACGTCCCGTGACAGCCTAGAAAGTGGGTAATTAGGCCCAACTGCAGTCTGTGTACGAAGGCAGGAAAGTGTATGTGTATTTTTAAAAGATTTTCATCTAATATAGTCAACTTTAGCTGTTTAAGGGGGTTCAGCTTCAGTGGCCCATACTTATTTTCTAATAGCAGCTCCATTTCAGTTCTCTCATTCGTGAAGGGTCCCTGTAGCACATGAAAGTACTTTAGGCACAGCCAGACAGCTGTATCCTGAATCCACTGGAATCCACAAAGCACGCTCTTGAGGATGTGAGGGCTGATGGAAGAAACCTCACCCTGCCTGCCGTTTGTTGGCTCTAGTTAGTCCAACGTTCATACGTCAGCAGCGTTCCTGCTTCTCTAGTTGGGGACAGAGATGCCACCAGCGATCCTCGTGCTAATTAGGATGAAGCCCCCCCCCCCGCTATGCTGCAGCACCCCACCCGGCCCCCGCCAGGATGCACGACTTGGCAAGTGAAACACAAGCTGGATTCCACACAGGGTGTGACCCGTACAGTTGTACATGATAGCCCTGATTCGTGGAGGGAAAAAATTACAGAAAGTACGTCCTACTTGTAGAAATCCTGGCATTGGCCTGAGCCCGGAGTTGGCCCTAGTGTTTCCAAGACAACCCCCCAGCTAAGTGATGGGCCCCGTTTACTTCACATGCACAGACCCCTGTGCAGATACGGACCAAATCTTGTGACCCACTTTGACCTTTTGGTGTCCTTCAGTCACACCACACCACACATCAGTCCCAGATCATAGTTAGAAACTATGATCAGACCCCTGCTTGCCATGAAGGTGAACTCAGCGATCTCAGCTCACCCTGAGAATGTAGGGACACGCAGCTCCTGGTTGCGGGGACCATCAGCCTGTAAGAAAAAGTCAGTCTCCTCTCGCCACGATGTCTTCCGAGCCCTCTGAGACTTGAGAGAAGAAAATAAAATCCAGGTGTAGCTTTGCAATATTTCAGTCAGTCAGTCACTTGTACTATTCATTTTAAAACAATGATCTGATTTAGACGAAATTTAAAATGTATACTTTGAATCAATTTTAAAGATGCTTCAGACATCTTAAAGAGGAAGATAACTTTCTAGTTTCACATGAACTGTTTTCTAACTTTGCAAAGAAAGGTCATTCTTTTGGGATGAAGAGGTCCAAAGGCTGGTAAGTTCAAGTTACAGAGAATCAAAAGTTCACCAGAAATAATATGCAATTTTTATATTAAAATGTGAGGCACAGCAAACTTATGTTTCTTTAAGAATGCAACTGAGCATATGATATAATTTACCTTCAAGATACATGTATTGATTGAGCTTCAGAAACTCTTTTCTCATGTGGACACACCGTGCAGGTCCGATTAGCTGTGCCTTCAGCGGTGGTTCGTACCTGTTGCCTGGCGGCGTAAGCAGAGTCCTCCACTGGCTCGGGGTCCTGCAGGGCTCTGGGGGGTGGAAGAAAAGCCTCTGCAAAGTTGTCAGAACCATGCCGGTTTCAAATGAGGGTAGAAGGAAGCATGATGATGGGCAGAATTTAAGTAGAATTCTGACATTTTTCTCTTCCTTTCAGAATGTTATTCCCTGAAGCTCAGCGTTTAGAAAGCACTGGGAAACTGTTAAAGTTGGCAGATGTGGACCCTACTCTTCGACCCACCCAGCTCTCTGTCTTACATTTTAAGAGCCTCTGTGACGCATACCGAAAAATGTGTGATGAAGACCCACACCTCTTTGCTTACAATTTCAGAGAAGAACTCAAGCAAAAGGGGATGACAAGGAAGAGTTACAGACTATAGCTGCTACTTCAGGGGCTGGCAGCCGACTGGATGTTGATTTTCACAGTGTTGAACTTCTCCTATGTGTGCTCCCCAGGTGTGACTTATTCCCCTTTTACAGCTTGGTAAAGAGAATAAATATCGTCAAGTAAGGTACAGTACAAGCTTTCTTTTAATATATATACTGCATAGATATGACATGTTTAGTATAAACAGCATCTATTACAACCTTACAAAAATGAAATACCTGCACAGTGTACCCCTAACCCACATTAGAATAATTTAAATATGCTTTAAATAAAGCAGAACCTAAGAGCTCAAAGAAAATGCCCAGAAAAGCTATTCATCACAACTTCCCCACCCTTTTCCACATAAATTAATTAGAATGCAGTTTCATTTTAAGGTTCCTAAGTCGTCATTTTGATACCTGCTCAAAAGGGATACAAACTAAGTAATTTACAAATTCTGACCAGTTTAATCTAGTTTTCTGATCCACAATAAATTAAAATAACTTAAATCTTTACAACTATTTTGTGGGAAAATGTATACTGCACAAAACCCAATAATGAATAGTTTTTCTGCAATTTCCATTTTACCCCCAGTTTAAAAGTGAAACCAGCAACTTAACCCATATCTGGATTGACCTGTATTATGCCTTTCCATGGCTCTCTGTTTCATAAAAACACTCCTCGTTGACAACCGACGTTAAGCTCTGGACGCTGAATTCTCGCTCGAGAACGGAGCTGAGATCAAGGTTGGCATTTTCCGATTGACTGTCCAGGGACTGGTGACGCATCTGCGCCTTCAGCAGAGTCCCCCTGTCCCTCTTGGTGCTGTTGGCTTTGCGTTTGATGGCGCAGAAGTGCCCCCGGACCAGCTTGGGCTGCCCGTCCTTGCCGGGCGGCTGCTGAGCTGGCCGGGCGTCCGGGTCCTCCGAGATCCTCAGTCTCTGGAACTGGATCTCGATGTCTGTGGTAGGGCTGCCCTGCTTCCCAGCCTGGTGGTCGTCCTCGTCGTCGTCGCTCAGAATGTCGCTCTCTTTGATGAGACTGTCGGAGAAGTCGGCCAGGCCCTCGTGGGGGTGTTTCTGGGCGTCCCGTGTGCTCCCGGCCCGGGGGCAGCCGCTGCTCTGGGTGCCACTGCTCAGGCTGCCCTCATCTGAGTCCAGCGAGCTGCCCTTGCCCGGCTCCCCGGGCCACTCGCTGGAGGAATTCTTAAGGACTTTTAAGGACCTGGATGAAGCTGCAGTGAGAAAAGCACATTTTCCCTTATGATAGAGGAACCGATTCCACAATGTGTTCATTTTTGCCCTGTGGGTTATCAGATTTAACATCTTAATTAAAATTTTATCACCTCACTTCAATCCTGGGACTATCCTGGGACTTGGGCAAAAAAAAAAAATGTAGATACTGCAAATACGGACATTTTTTATTTATGTTTATTTGAAATTTTAAGTTGGAATTTGGCATTTTTTAGAGGACCAATTACCAGAGCTTAATTACTGAGAACAATAAGCTATAAACTATCATAAGGGCTACGCTTATTACCAATGAATAAATTTAAAAGTTAGTTTTACAGCTAATTAATGAATAAATTAGCTCTTGCTAATGAATAAATTTAAAAGTTAGCTGCTAATAAAATCTAGGTTCCTTTCTTTCACTAAAGTACTTTGTAGTTTGAGAACTAAGATTACACCATATTTCTCTGCCCACCTTCTCACCGGTTCATTTCCCTTGCTGCTCAATTAAAAGTACAAAAATGCTTTTTCTCTCTCATGAGAACTGTCTCTGCTGGAATTTCTAGCCAACTTTGAGATTTAATATGAATATTGAATCGTGTGTGTGTGTGTGCGTATAATTTCCTTTCTCTTGGGTAGAAGGGAAAAGGGAAAGGGGGAGCTCAGTTGTGTTTCTGCAGACGACAGTGTATTTTTAATGGCTGTAGCTTATTTTGCCAGTAGAGGAAAAAATGGAAAATATATGGTAAACTTGAGGAGGTCAAACTGTGACCAAAAAGAAGAGATACATTTTGTAAGACTAAAAAAAAAAATAGATCAGTGATATTAACAAAATAGTTAACATAGAAAGAAGGTTCTAAAAATTTAAGCTGACATTTTAAAAACGGGCAGAAAGTTGAACAACAGCATGATTTGGAATGTTTACCTGTGGGCTTATTAAGAATGAGTATTAGCGACCATTAGGTTTCTTGACCTTAATTCACTGAGTGTTGACCTTCTAGAGGCCTTGCACTGTTCTGAGCACCGGGAATGCGGCAATGAGCACAACGAAGTCCCTTGACTCCTGTACCTCTCAGCGGAAGAAAGACAGAAGACGGTACCTCTCAGCGGAAGAAAGACAGAAGACGGTAAGTGCAGACTGTGTCAGCAGGTGAAAGACGAAGGATTTGGATTGGGGGTGCTTATGTTTTATAAAAGGAGGTCTGGGACCGAGCATGTTTAGGCTTATTAAAAGGAAGTAAAATTGCCGCTACATCCTCATGTCACCCTGTGTATCGGGTGTCTGGTGTAGAGCTTACAAAGCTCCTGCTGATGAGCTACAAAGCGATGACCCGCTGCTCTATCCTGAAAGCACACATCCTTGCAGAGGAGCTCCTCATGTTTTCCTGAGTAAACCCAAGGCTAGCAGAGTTCTTACCTAATTTGGCTGAGACAGGAACGCGGTTCTTGAGGGGTACCAGGCGATCTTTACATGTTTTCTCCAGAGGTAATTCACACTTTATGTGACGCCTGAAGTTCTCCCTCAGAATAGATCGAATCACCTTGACAATGTTGGTTTTGCTTTCGTTGTCACTGGCGGGGAGAGAGAAGACATGTTGTAGTGTCTGCTGTCTCGTCCTGCTTCCGTTCCACGCCTCCTGGCCCTCCCGTGGCACGTGACCGCTCTCAGCACAGACTGACAGCGAGTCACCCAGCCTCTGTGTGCCTCGGTCTCTCGTCATTTACAAAAGGAGCGAGAATTGATCGCTTTTGAACTTCCTTCAAGCACTAACATTTGGATGTATATTTATTCAATGTATATTCTCCTAGAGCCGCAGTTGCACAGTTTGGAGAGGGTGGGTGTGATCCTGAAGTCATCAAAATTTAGGAGGGCACTAAAAATAAGCCCACTTTTAAGAGAACATAATTCTGTCTTATGCCCATTGGCTTTAATTTTTGGAAGTCAGTAATACCTGCAGCACAACTGAAAGATGGTTTCTGGCCGTCCTTCTATTTCTGACTTGGTGTGGATCAGCTCGCATAAGGAATTATTTTCTGTCCCTGTGTAAAAAGAAACAAGGGGCCGCGAATTTGCCAAAGATGCTGTGGTAAAGGACACTTGTGAAGCTTAAAAACCACAATTTTAGTAACTTTTTAAAGAGTTAAATATTCCCCATCCTGACTCTCATCATTTTCTGGTGTGGCTCCTCCTATGTATGACTTTCACAAAGAGTTACAAGAAGTTAAATACGTTGTAGTTACTTTGTACACTTCCTGCTGAGGTTTCCCATCCGTCTTGGTGCTTTCGCCCTACCCTGGATTCCATCTCTCTGGGAAAGAGGTTAAATGGATCCCATTTTTCAACCCCGTTCCTTAGAAGGAACGGTAGGATGTGCTCAGGCTCTTGAGGTAAAGGAGGCCAGCCCCAAACTCAGTCATGGTCCAGGAAACATGAGCACTTCCAACGAAAACTGAACAGGGGCCCAGCCGTCACTGCGGGCCTCAGCCTGTTGGTCCTTTGCTTAACCAGAGGTACTGTCACCAGGACAGGGTTATTCTGAAAGGATCTCTGAACATTTTCCACAGTGGAAAAAATTTTTTTTATATATCACCTGTAATAAAGCTTAATCTTAAGAAATTTTCAGGTGTATCAAAATTTGTAAACATTTAAATTTGTGGACCTTTGTTTCTTTAACAAATTTTAGAGATAGAGATTATCCCTAAAGTTATTAAAATAATTAGAAATATTAGGATATTAGAAAAATGTTGAAAACCATCGACAGTGAAAATAAGGAAGCAAATAAAGAGAGGTATTTGGCAAAGAAAAGCCATCCGCTGGCATTTACTTTCTCCAATCTCTCTTGTCCTCATTTTCCTTGCCTATAAAATAAAATACCAAAAATCATTCCCAGGTTCTTTGCTACTTTTTCATTCCACAGTTTAAAAATTCCCTTAAAATGTTTTTTCTGGCACCTGTACGACACACAACAATTACCTGCTGTATTCCCCAGTCTGACTTGAAGCGCGGATATGGGGATCAACCAGCGAAACTTAAACGGATCCAGGTCAGCAGAGTTGTGTGCCGGCCGGGAGTTCGACGGCTGCAACGTGAGAGCCCACCAAGAACAGTGTTAAAGCAAGCTCGCTCCCGCGGGCACGTGCGCGCACGACAGAAGCTGTGAGCTCACCCTGGTGCAGACCTGCCGCCATGTGGGGCTCAGGATGCAAAAGGGAATCAGGTCAGGTGTGCTCTCAGGGATTGGGGACAGGGCAGAGTCATGTTTTGGGAAGCAGAGAGTTCTAGATCTTTAAGCAAAAATGACAAGCAAGCTTTCCATGACCCCATGTTACCTCTAAAAAAAAAAAAAAAAAACCCAAAATTACACAGACTCAGGTGTATGGAGAAAACGTGGACCATTTTTAGGGATAGAAAAGCTGGTTTTCTCTGTAGGGCCCAGCATGGGTATTTGTCTACATCTTCTTTAAAACAGACGTCTTTGGTGGGGAGGATAAGAAACACCTTGAGTCGCATCACTCAGTGAGGCCTTCATCCTTAGCAGGCTTCCCAGTTCAACAACAGGAGGATAACAGGCATGAAAAGATAGCTTTAATTAAAATTAATTCATGTCTTACCAATTTCTTTTTCAGTTTGCAGTTTTCTTTATAAACCAATATGACGGCTCTCTTAAAAACTAAAGAAAGGAAAAGAGAAAGAAATGACTCTCATTATTTAATACAAACTCTCCCAAGGTTGAACTGTAGCTGAATA